CTACATTGTTGGGAAATAGTACCAGAGGAGAAATGCATGTACAGATGGCTGCGGGTACAGGTTGGTTTGGTTTTAGGCAGATTCAGTTTGACCAGACTACAAGTGGAAATCACAAATATAGAAAATGTATACAAGATAAATATGTATTGGTATGTACAAATGTTATAGTTTGGTTGAGTTTCTATTCTTTTACCGTGTCAGAGAATGCTTCATAGAAACAGCAGATTACACTACATATACTATGGAAAGTGAGAAAACATTTGGCTATAGGATTCAAGGCCAGCGATGCATCAGTCTCACTGGAACAAAGTGGTAGCTGTTTAATGACTAGAGGAAAGGTCAGAGATCTTCAACCATAATAATCAGTTTTCAGTCTCTTATTCACAAAGCCCATTATTTTACACGAAGATGCTAACAATCAACAGTCAACTAGGCAAGTTCCTAGCAGAGATTAAAAATACTATCTTTACGATGAGCTTTAGCTAACCTTAATTTCAAAAATTATTTGACCTCTTCCAGTCAATTTTCATATTTTCAAAATTTTATCCAATAAGGACTACTATATTTAAGTGTTTCATTAAAACAAATGCTAGTTATTTTAACATTATTCTGGAATCTTTATAAAATGAGCATTTTCCTTGATTTGCTGTCCCAGGAAAGCATCAGTTAAAAATTGTCTCTTCATCAACACTTTTGAAATAAGTAGTTTAAGTACTTTACTAAATTTTCCTCCATTATGTGCAACTGTCATCAACTCGAAACTGAATCACATACAAAAAAACAAAGGATAGCTGCCATAACTACCTCATTTTCACATCCACTCTGCCCCAAATCTGTTATCAGAATACAGGCTCTAGCATTCAGGTAACTTTGCACAAGCTGTTTGAACGGCCACACAGAGTTAGGAGTACAGAAGGATAAAATTACAGCATCTTAAGTGGTATGGCAGACCGGCTCTTTAAGTTCAGGTAACAAGTTTAACAAGATCCTCTCCTTTCCCTTCTTCCCCTTAGTGCAGACAGAATTGAAAGACACGAAGAGGGAGATTAGTGGAAGTTGTGCTACTTGGGATTGTTCTCCATCTCTAACATTAACTGCCATATGTTGTGTATTTAAAACACAAAAACTTTTTTTCTCAGAAGGATACATGCAGACATATCTGTGCCAGATGAACATGTTGTTTTGTTCTACACTGGCAGAGTACCTATAGAATGTAACCCTGCACCTGTGAAATTTCCAATTCCACAAGCACTGAATCTTAAGTCCATAATCCTCCAAAACTTCAGAAACACTGGAAGAACAGACAGGAATGCTAAAAAGTAGTGGCAGGAAAATGAAACATACTTGTCCTATCCTTCCAAATGGAAATTAACAAATATTTCTTCATATACCCAAGGAAAGGACTTGAGATATTGAAGCATCAATGAAGCAGGACAATAACATCTAGGTCATGCTTGCAAATTGTTTCTTTTGGACTTCAGATTTTCCAAAGAGCTTTTTATATATTTGGAGGTACCATTGAAAAAATGCACAAAACCTTCACTAATCATTTTCAATTTGTAGTAATTTCCAGCTGGCTGGTTTCTTTTTGACAATTAGCAACAAGAGATAATGTAATAAAGTATCAATTAATAATTCAGATTACTGAGGTCTCCTAAGCCAGGTTACCCATCTACAACTATTGCCCAGGTCAAAGGAAAAGCATCCTTTTCTATTACAATCAATCAAAAGGCCTTTGCAGCCTTGCTAGCATGTGTATCATTCAAGATGCTCCATAAACTAAGATGATTTGTTAACACTAAAATCATAAAAGTTTTATTTGGAAGGCAAACATAGGCATTGCCAATATTCATATGATTTCTAAATGCCAGTACCTAGAATGGAAAGTGTATGACATCCGTTGACCTTAATGTTGCACAAGAGTAAGACAACAGAAATGAAAGCATTTGAGGGAATATGTGGATAGAGCACTGGCTCCAATTAACATAGGTCCAAATTCTGCCTCTTCATTTTTGTGCGGCCTTAGGCAAATCCAACTCCCTATGCCCATTTACTGCAGAAGGATGGGGCTGAACTACATGGCCTTTGAAATCCTTCCGAATAGATGATCCTGTGATCTCACAATTTTAGAACCAGCTATCTTGTTGGTCTCTGCTGCCATCTTCTGGCTTCCATGCAGAACTACAAACACACAGGTACAATCCATTGATGAAAACTGTGAACATGAGTCACGCTCAAAATAAACAGCCATTCTTTTATCTACAGTGTCCCTGAGAAGTTGCCCTAGGCTTTTGCACTGACACCCCAATTTTCCATTTGCATACTGAAAAAAAAATTTCCAATAGAAACAAAATCCCCTGTGGAATTAGTTACAGTTCGGGGTAGTTTAAAAAAAAAGAAAGCATGGAGGCAGTTAAGTGTTCAAGAAAGATATGGGTTGTAGCATAGACGAAGCTTGTGTTTCAGCAATACTAGATTGGCAAAAAATTGCTCTACCACATTCATTCCAGCATACTTTAACAAAACATCATCCCTATGACCTGGAGAATCACCTCGTTGGGTCACAAACCTTTTGGCCTGACCTTCGGGTCAGAACTCTTTTGGGTCCCCTTCCACATCTTTTTAAACTAATCCTACTAGACCAAGGCCAGTTAGCATCACTATTAGAATCAGATTATTTTTTGTGAGGTTGAAATTAAGAGCGTAATGGCATTTTTTATCAGCTGGGAGTTGGGTGGGGTGGAGTTGAAAAATCTGCTCAATTCTAGTATGCAATATAGTTCCCATATTAGAAAAGGATCTACTCCTTCCCAGATTTCATCTTTCCTTAGCCCTGCTCCACAGTAATATTTCACCTTTCTATGGCAGTCTTTTTTGAACCATACAGGCCAAAATATGTAGTAACATTAAAAAGCTGTATCTTTTGCTTCTTTTATTACACCATACACTAATAAGGTGCCAGGAATAGAATAGGCATGTTTAATAAATGCTTACTGACATAACTGCTAGTGAGTTTACATGTATTAAATTTATTGTCTTTAAGGATACCTGTGTATATAGGTCCTTCAAAATTCGGTTTCATATATATATATATATTATATATTATATACACACACACACATATATACATACATATATATATTTGAGAGAATGAAAATGTTTGTGCTATTTTAGGAAACTAAGTCCCTAAGAAAACTAAATGGATGTAGAAACTTCAAGGATTAAAGTTACTTTTTGTGCAGGAATAAAATCATAAATCATTTGTTCACAAATCACATCAAAAGCATTAAGTCATGCATCTGATGCCTTCCAGTGGAAGTAACCAGCAGTGACCATTAAAAAAAAAATGCCCTGAATCAATAATTTAACTCAACTAGAAAAGTGCTTCTATGTCTATATAACTTCTATGTCTAAGATGTAACACTGCTTTCTATCACCTACAATGAGCAGAAACTGAACTTTGTCTGAATATAAATCCAGGGCTATTTCCTTAGGACAGAAATCTGTTAAGTATTTATACTGAAGCTCTCCTTGGCCCTATCATTATCATCTTACCATCTGCATGTTAAGCATTTTCTTTGGTCAGTTTACGCTCAAAGTTTCATTTTATGAATCACTTTAGAATATAACTTGGTTTACTAAGGATTTTATACCGAGATCTTCAGGAAACACTTTATATGGCCAGAACTGTTATTTCTTGGATCTTTATGACTGCCAACTAAATATAAGGAGTAAGAGTTAGGGGGCAGATAGGTGGCGCAGTGGTTAGAGCACTGGCCCTGGAGTCAGGAGATCCTGAGTTCAAATGCTGCCTCAGACACATAACACTTACTAGCTATGTAACTCCGGGCAAGTCAATTAACCCCAATTGCCTTGACAAAAAAAAAAAAAAATTAGGCTGCTCAGCTATTCAGGTAAAGAAACATAACATAGGAGGAATCTTTTCCTTTACTACATCCCCGCCCCCAACTTTAAGATATTACAACTAGCCAATAAAAAGTCTGTTTCTGAATTTGAGAGGTAGATTTTAATATATTTAGGCTGTGGTCAACATTTGAATATTTATGTATATGAAGGGACATATATTACTTAACAGGAAGCTGAGAGAAGCTGGTAAAGATTCCACTTCTACATGAATTGGTTGCTTACAGGTGTGGGAATAACAGGCAAACTTGAGTTTAAGAAAAAAAGCAGGGTCATCACTAGGAGTTAAATGAGAAAAATGAGAAATTTTAATACTAATAAAATTTCACCTCTCATCCCTCCTGCAGACAGGTTTTCATTGAAAGCAAGGGAACACAGTGAAAGAGAAGAGGGAAAAAAGAGTAATCTAGGAAATAGGAGAGGAACTTATTAAGGGAAAAGTCCAGGATTAAAATTGTAATTGAGGAAAGGAAATTAATTCTTAAATACTAAAAAACAACTTAAGTTTTCAAAATGTTCGTATGTACTGAAGATTGACTGGGAATGCCTTATGGGCAATGCTGACTTACTGGAACCAAGAGTAACTGACATATTTGTAAGAGATAAAATTAAACTGTTCCTTACTAAATGCTTATGATAGTTTTAGACAATAAAAAAAATCTTTTAAAAAACAGGCCCAGGGCATTGGTGAATGAAACAACCTAAAATTTCTCAACTTGGGGATAGCTCTTCTATTTATTTTTTAAATGTTATAAATAAACTTAAAAAAAAATAAAATCCCAGTAACTGCCAGGAAAATACTGAAAACATCCAAATGTACAGTACAATACACACCTTCTTCCCATTCCAGAATTTCACCATGTAACACCATGTAAATTAGTAACAACTTTTTAATAAAAAGAAAACCATGAACCAGTTCTTGCAACTTACAGATAAAAAACTATTTAAATATCAAGTATTATTATAGTGATAAAGATATTAAACTTCTTACCTAACCAAACTCTTTTAGTATCTTTGCCTGCCTTCTAACAAAAGTTTAAAAAAACAAAACAAAAGAATGAGTTATGGAGACTCAATTATCTAAGAAAACCATTTTACTTAATGTGGTGAGGATAACTTGTACTCAATGATGGCAAAACATACTCTGTGAACAAGCTCCCCACCCCATCCCAAAGAAAATCCAGCAGCTCTCACAGCCCAGCATATTTAAGACAATGCAAAGTCACGTTTACCAGATGCTACATTCAGAAATCACCAAAGAACAACAGAGAACTTCCATGTCCTCAATGGCATCTATAACTACACAAACAACAATCCAGGAATGAATGGAAATGTGGTTGGGAAGAAGCAGCTCAGACTAGTAAAACTTCCATTTTACAATTAACTAATTTTGGAAAATAAACAGAACAATTGCTGGGCTAAAATAAAGTTTATAATTTAAACCTTGAATTGTGTCAAGGTCTGAATTATACTGCCAGTTCCTTTAAGAAAATAGATATTTTTGAATCATTGTTAAAATTGTGAAACAAAAATGGTTAATGTAAATAGCAGTATGGCAGAACCTTCTTGCTCACTGATATCATGCCAGTTGTTTACATTTGGTTAACTGCATGTTAGATGACATTTGGAAAAAAAACATTATTGCCCTTGATAAGATTATTAGCACCATTATGCGGAATAAAAGAGTACTGGTATCAACAATTTTCTAATGTCATCAAAATGTAGCTAAAGCATAAGTATTCATAACGGCCTGATTATGATTAATGTTCTGAAAAATGGGAAAAGATTGAGACAGTCATTTTTTGCATTATAAATTGAGACCTGCTTACTCAGCTAAATAGAAAAGTAGCAATCTATTTTAGATAAGCGGTATCGAGATTTGCTACCGGCAACCTGATTTTTTTTAATCAACAAATATAAAACACATTAAGGAATAGAAAAGTTATTAAGACTTATTAAAAATCTCAAGGACATGGAGCATTATAAAGTAAGTTTCATAAGCCCAAAACAATTCAAATAATTATTGCCTGAGTATATATTATCACTGGACTTGTGAATTTTTTCTAAATGATTAATATTTTTGTAAGGTATACTAAATATCTTTCTGACAAAACAGGACAGAATATCCTAGGAATATGTAGCAATTTCTTGGGCACTGTGGAGAATAAGCTTGATTTTCCCAGCAAGCATAATAATCTACATTAGTTATCATGATGTTTCAGTAATTATAAAGAAAAGATTACTACATATATGCTATAAAGTTAGCCATATGTTCTTACTGATGATCTGCAATTAGCATTTTTCTCAGTATCATGGAAAAGTACAATTTCAAATGAACTTCTTTCTTTTCAAAGAAAGGGTCTTAAAGTATAAATTGCTATGCAGAAGCACAAAGCCTTTTAATGCAATCTTCTATAAGAAGTAATTTGAATTTTAAAAGACAATCTAACAGCAGATATGATTCCCACTGAGATACACCTCAATCCTTTCTTTCCTCGTTCTCTATTAATATTTGAACTCTAGACATTAATGAGCTGTACTAACAAGCATCCAAAGTATCAGAATTACCACACTGGAAATTTTTGTAGAAAAATTGTGAGACCATCTTATTTACATGAGCTCAACTTCTGTTAACTACTGCTTCTGGGGTTGTATTGCTTAAAACAACTCTACTCAATATAATATTTCACCAGTTATTTTTGAGTGCAGATAAGTGAACTCAAGAGATAAATTGGTAAAGTTTCAGATTATTCCAGCTAATACTGCATTATGGTCCATTTACTAGGGGCAAAAAAATAACCCTATAATAGAATGCTAAGGATATTCGGGTACTTATGGTTGGCTAGTGAAAACAGAAGACAGTTAGAGCAATTTCATCAGACATTTTTACAAAGTAAATGTCTTGATGAGTATGTGCTTTAAACTTATAGTCATTCTTTATATTTATTTTATTTATTGGGGCGATGCAGAAAGTCACAAATGAGGAAAGGACACTAAGGTTTTAATGAGGGGAACAGAAGAGTTGTTTTCACCAGTATAGATTCACATTACAGTACACCAATATTGACAGCATTCTTTTGTCTATTTTTGGTACATAAGATGGAATCTCTCTACATAACCTCGTAAGGCTTCAGAAACTAAAAAGTTAAAAAAAAAAACCTATTAGTTTACAGTTTATTTAAAAATTCTGAAAGACACTGCAAGTTCTAAACTTTAGTAGTGCTAACCCATAGACAGCCATTGGGCTAAGAACCCAGTAAAAGAGCCCCCTTCCAAGGAAGCTTGGTGACAGTGGAGTTGTGCAATATGGATGTTTCTTACTACAAGAAAAGAAATTACACATGGCACATTCTCATTCATATTCTGTAATGTAAAAAGTTACAAACATACCTAATCAAATAAATAATAAAAAAATGAATTTGAATGTGTTTGTTAAGTATCCTAAAACCACTACATAGAATAATGGCAACTTTCACTCACAGATTATTTACATGGTAATACCCAGTATGGGTACACTGCTACAAAACTCAAAACAGAAGGAGTAAACTTGAAATGTTTTCCATAATAAAGATCTAGCAGCATGACTATCTAATGCTGTTTTATCCCAACTGCTTCCAAAAAGTTTATTTTAATCCGTGTCTTCATCCAGTTCATAATTGTCTTTATCATAAATATCTTTTACTAAAAGAACCCGTACAAGCATATTTTCCAATGTGTTTCGGTCCAGTGAAGTAGAAGTATACCAGACAGGACTATCTGTTGAACTTGAACACTCTGGTTGCAAATAAAAAACATCCGTTCTTTGATTAAGATTCTGTGGACTATTAGAAAAAGAGAGAGAAAGACAAAGAGAGACAGAGAGAGAGATCATTTTCATATAATAAATATATATATTTCCCTACAATATTCTCTTTTCCCATTACAGAATCTAACCAAGACCCATTAATCTCAGAATGTTACAATTATTGCTCTAACATTGTTTTATAAAGTACATGAGACAACCATATAGTTACAACATTAAAATCATGAAACAAAAGAAATATTTTTAAATAGAAGTCCCACACATACAAATAGCTATTGCAGACAATTGCTCTTATTGTACCGGCTGTCAGGGCCTCTCCTGCCACTATACTCATCACAAAACTATCAACTATTAATATGGTTTGACTACATTTTTTAATTGTACATTTAGCAGTTGGCCTAGTTACCTAATCACCACCTGTATTATCATTCCTATAAAAATTCAAACTATAAAATGAACTTCTAGAAGAGAATCTGTTTGTAAAATAGGAATTGCCCACATTAGAAAAAGATGGGAAACATCCTAAGGATTCTAAATTGAAAAGTAAACACAGGGAATAAAAGACAATTTTTCTCTTGATACTGGAAAAAACCCTGGTCAAAAAAAAAAAAAAAAAAAAAAAAAGATATAACTAGTCACTACATTCACTTCTGTTTCCAAGTACTACTGCTTAAAATCTTATTACTGCTTGATTCCCACTTTTGTCTTTTCTTTTCTTTTTTTTAAGGCAATTGGGGTTAAGTGACTTGCTCAGGGTCACACAGCTAGTAAATGTCAAGTGTTTGGTCTGAGGCTGCATTTGAACTCAGGTCCTCCTGACTTCAGGACCGGTGCTCTATTCACTGCGTGACCTAGCTGCCCCACAATTTTGTCTTTTCAAAATAGCTTTGCAAGACTGGTATCACAGAAGTTCAAGTGCAGAAAGGATAACAAAGCACTGATGAACATTCTAATAGTTTGGAGAACCTTCTTAAAGTTTTACTTGGATTCCAAAATTCTCACTTGGCTGATCTACTAAAAGGTCTAGAAAAATATGAGTGAATTAGGAAACTAAAGAGGAAAGAGTTAAAGGCAGGAAATCTAACTAAAAATAAGAAAAAATGTAGCAGTTCCTGAAGTTGTAAAATCCTAATCCCACTCTTGAAGACATAGCCAGTTGACTTCACATACGCTACTATACATTATTATGCACTACTATTTACCTTTTTGATAGATAGCATTCAAACATTTTCACAGGACATCTAGAAGGATTGGCTGTGTTTTCAATTTGTTCAAATACTGGCTCATCATCTTCATGTTTTCTTTTTCCAGTAGTAATTTTATCTTCAAAAAATAACAATAAGGAAAAAAAAAACTTCCTAAGCTCATTAACATAGAGTAATAGCTATTTTGTCGCTATAAACTACAACAAAGACAGCCACAAAGGCAATTTTAATCTATGGAAACTCATGGGTTTTAAAAACAAGAACCACCAAGTAGCTGAAATTGGTAGCCACTATGTTACAAATATTATTTTTGAAGAAAAGCAGAGCTATGAACTGCTTAAGTTTTGTTAAGTATAACCCTTGGATACCTGGCATATCAACGGGGTCCCCTCAGTTAGACAAAGTAGGGGCAACCCTGCCATAAATAGTCCCAAAATGAAAATTGGCTACTCTACCTTCACTATCAGCTCCACACAAGGAAGACACTTGGTATCGAAGACATGCTTTGTTTTCCATTGTTACAGAATTTTTTTTCCACTGCCTAAATACGGTGCCAAAGGAAAGCCTTAAATGTTGCTCCACTGTTTTCAGGCCAAAATATTTAGTGTTAAAGTAGAACAATGTGTTCAGAAGAGCTACTGGAGAGTGTGATCCTAGCTGTTTAATCCTCCAGAGATAATCTTCTTCAACACGAGAAAAAATTGACCCTTAAAAAAGAATAAGTATTAAAGGCAACAGACAATAGAGGTAGAGATTAGGTATGACCTTAAGAAATATTAATCAATCTTCTGTATCCCTCCCCCAAGCCCATATCATGCTTCTGATATGTGCCAATCATAAAGAAAATACTGAGAGATTCCAGGGATTTTTATCAAACTGATCAAAAAAATTCCTATCTGAAATTTCAGGTTAATTTTAAACTGCACAAATAGATAAAAGATGGCCCACTCTTATGCTGTGACCATCAACCTCTACTCCCCTCCATTTCATTAAGATAGAATGAAAGCAAGAAAAGGGAAACATTTTCCATCAATTGGAAAATGGAAGAATAAATTATGGTGTATATTAATATACTGAGGTATTACTGGACCATAAAATGATGAGTATGAATTGAAAGAAACTTAGGAAGAAGTGTAAAAATTGATGAAGAGAAAAGCAGAAATAAGAAAAAAGACACCAGAAGGCAATGAACAATTTCAACCTGATTTCCTGAGGACTGATAAGAAATAACTCCCTTCTCTCAGCAGAGACTTAGTAGTACAGGTGAAGAATAAGGTATACAGTAACAGCGTGGGTGGATGTGTTAGTTTGGTAATCTTATTGTTTTTGTTACAACAGAGGAATCTATAGGGATAAAGAGGGAGTTATGGGGAAATGATAGCATCATTTTTTTTTTAAAACATCAAACTTTTTATTAAAAAGAGAGTAAAATCAAAATATGGCTCCATTCCAGAAAGGATGAGCAGAACATTCACTTTTTAAAATACGAAAAACATTTCTGTTGCATGATTGAAATTACTTTATGGATTTTCTCTGAGCAGAAAAATTATCAATACCTTTATCTGACATATCTTAATTTCTTTATACTATCCTTAAACTATATACAATTTAACACCTTATATCTGTTTATTTTAAATAAGCACACAAAATATTAGGGAAAATATTCATAGCAAAAAGAATATTACCATCTGGAAGTATACTTGGTTGCCAACTTCTAAGAATTTTACTTAATTCTTGTTCAAATGTCTGGTAACCTGGATCAATAAATATGTTGTCTTTTCGATTACTACCACACAAGTACTAAAATTTTAAAGAAATAAGGGGAAAAAAAGAATTAATTCTATTAGAATCAAAATAGCCAGTTAGGAGCATCAAGAAATTATCAGGGCTTTACTTCCATCAGTTTATTCACTACAAACACAGTACCTGGAATATAGTAGGTGTTTAACAAATACTTGGTCCTCCACTCCCTCTTCCCCACCCCATATAAAAAAGAAAACCATTGGCTTTGGGTAATTTACAGCAGAAAATGACCAGTACTTAATGACTCTAAATTAATCATGAATTACCACTGAAGTACTATTTTTAAAAGTAAAAATAATCACTAAGGACTGCAAAATTATCTTCCTACTAGCCAGTTGTCAGTTTCAGATTTCAGATTATTAGAAATGAATCAGAAAAAGTTTAAAAGGAAATATGTGGTAATGATAAAAAGTGTGGAAAAACATCCAGGATGATAATGGTCCTGTTAACTCACCTATAGACCTCTCTGTTCTCCCTTCATAAGCTTAACTCAAAACACACATTTCACATCTGAGCAGCAAAAAAGTTCGCATTTTGTTGAGAAACTGAGTTTCATTAAGACAGTAATTTAAGAGTGAAGGTTGTTAATGAAAATGACTATAGAGTAAAAGCTATGAAAGCCCATCTCATGAGCCTAGACTAACTGTTGTCTTGTCAGTTATTTGAATAGTGCATAGAGCTAAGTGAGTCATGGGTTAGACTATCACTTGGAAATGAACTTTGTCTCTCCTTGGTTACATAAGTCCAAACTATACTACTCACCCCATCCCTCCACTCTTGCTGTATCTTAAAAAAAAAAAAATGCTTTCTTAACTAAGTTCACAAAATTGCACTAATAATATTCATAAAGCTCAACATCAAAGCTAACTTTTAGTATTCTACCTTCATATTCTGGGGCTACCAAATTACTAACCTCTTGGATGCCAAGGCAAAGATAATAGATGCTGTCAGGTGCATAATTCTCTCCATTTGGCCTTCGGATTTCATTGACAAAATGGGCCAACCCATAATTAAGTTCAGCTGTAGTGTGAGACAGTAGATCCTCTTTTAACTTTACTGACTTAGCTAGAAAAAAATAATATAGCAATGTGGTTAAAACTAATTTATGAGTATTACTTAAGACTGCTTCAAGCCACAACCAAATACATTAAGATTCAATCTAATTCATACAGATTTCTTTTTGGTTGGGTTTCTTCTCCCACCCCTCCACCCCCCATACGAAAATAACAATCAAAAGCCTAGTTCAAAAGACAAAATTCTAAGGAAACAGAATCAAAATACTCACTGGATTTTAGTTCATCTGATATCAGTAGATCTTCATCAAGTTGCCTAGTTTTGACCCAGTGTTTCCACGCATTCACACCATATGTATATTTGAAAGGAAAGCTGCATTCCGAATTATCAGAACTATCATCATGGGACTGGTATCCTGATACAGCTTTTCTCTTTGCTCCCTGTTAATGAAACATCACTGTAAAATCTTTTTTTTTTTTTTAATTTTTAAACCTAAATTCTTTTGCATGTAACAAATCACCACTCTTAAAAACAATTTTCAAACTGTTAAGTAAAGCTTATAACAGTTGTAAATTTTGCTGAATGCAGTGAAATTACGACTGTTTGGCCCAAAGAAGAGATGTAAGAAAACATCCTCCCCACCCACCCACCCATAAAAAGTGGGTAACTATGGAATGCTATATATAAAGCAAGACTCAATATTTTTATTAGCTTTGGAAACTGCTTTCCCTTTCCTTCTAATATGGGATTGTCTCCTGAGGAGAGAGAAGAGATACACTGAGAAATGTAGACGAAATAAAACACATATTACAACAAGCTGCATATTTTGAATTTAAAAACATTTCTGAGGATAAGAAAACTTTTTCAAGTATCACCAACATGTCACTTCAGGAATACCACGTTTCTAAAATCACTCTGTTTCTGAGAAAATATAACATGAGTTTAAGTATGTTTGCCTTCCAATGGAAGTTAACGTAGGATGGGTATTATTTTTTTAGAAAACATCCTTAAATGAACACATAACCTAAAAATAATTGTGCACCAAAAAAAGAAAGGAAATTCAAGAAGCTACTGTTGAGACATAAGCACGTGTAATCAGGTTCCCTCCAATTATTATTTTTGAAACTACCAAAGTTAGTGTTTCAATGACCCATAATGGATGTGATATACCTCAGAAAATCTAAATCTAGAAACCTGGTGATAAAATATTCAATGATACTACTGGATTGGCTAACTTAAGTCTGCCTACCCACAACTCCTGCAGGGAAAATTATTGGTCAAATCAATTAGGTTAATTTCTGTATACCTCTAGTCCTAATAGCCATTTATATTCACAAACCACCTTGTTCAAAGAACTGACTTTTTTGAAGCAACTGTTTAACGACAGTATATTATGAGAATAAGTAAAATGTTAAGTGAAGTAACTTATTTTTAAAAAGTTACAGATGAACAAGATAGAAAAGGTCCTTGTAACTTCAAAATAACCTATGTATGACACCTCTTAAAATATTTTTTAAAATTTAAGAGGAAAAATGTAAAAGATTGCTTTCTCCTTATCTTAAGGGTATATCAAAACCACACATAACTGCTATTCTCAACAGCCAAAGAAGACAAGAAAGCAGATAGCTGTAATTTTATACCTTCTTTTTAGACCGAGGTCGCGGCTGCTCCTCATATTCTTCCCCAAAGACAGGTGGTAATAGAAATTCATTTTCCATGTCAAGCTCCTCAGCGGCTAAAAAGTAGATTAAGTTATTTTTTCATAAAAATATAAAGTGTCTTACGTTCCAGAACTACAATAATAATGGGGACTAAGATGGACTGCAAATCAAATGAGCCCTGGCTGGGCAATGGGTAAGGATGTGTTTGTATTCTGTACCTCCCAGGAGAGAGGTCAATCACTCCCCCGCCCCCCCAAAAAAGCAAATCTGCTTTTTTATAACCAAATCAAAACTATAGAGACAATTCCAGCATGAAATCCATAGAAGAGTATTTAAAATAAGTTAAGAAAAATTTCATGAGCTCTGAAAGAAAAGATGCTTACAAGAGGGCCCAAAATAGAACTGTTGATCAAAATTACAAAATTTCATATATGCCTTATGGTCAAAAGTAACTTCTGACAAAGAATTCACACTGATACACATATTCTGGTTATTTCATTTCATTTTTTATTTTACCTGGATAATACCTATGAATTTGATACTTCTGTGACATGGTAGGACAACTTCCTAGGCAGATACGTAAAAACTAATCTTTTCTTCCTTAGTGTAAATATATTGTCTTGATTTTCAAAAAAGTTCCCCAAGACACTACCTGTTCAATCCCCACTACTTTAGAACCACTCTCCTATGATTCTAGTGAAAACCTACAACTGTGTTCCCTAGATATGTCATGCTCATTCAGGTTAGCCAATTGTTACTGATACCAAATAAATCTTCTATATGGCATTTTTGCTATTTCTGTGCCATCCCAGGTAGTGAGTAAGAGCACCAGGCAACAAAGGCAGTGATGCTACAGTTTTAAGTGACTGAAAAATTATAAAAACAAAACAAATAAAAATACAATGAAAGTATATAATGATATTTCAGTACCTCTAGGAAAATCAATTTCAATGTCCAGATCTGGTTCATATGGAACATCAGGCATATTTGCTTGTGTTTCTGTGTCAGAATTCTTCATGGCATCTCTATCTACTATTACATCTGTTTCAATAATTACACCTGAAATAAGTTTGGAAATTACATGTGGAAAAATACCGACACAAAACACGTAACATATTCAAAATTATGAAATCCCATCCCCATTCAATTTTAGAAAACACAAAATCAAGGGAAAGCACTTAACAAAACACACTAAACATCAAAAGAAATGGAACAAATCTGCCAAATTCTCATAGAAAATTCCAGAAAGGATAACAATAAACAACTGTCTAAACCTACAAAATTTACACTTTCATAACCAATAATCATACCATAACAGTCAAATCTAAAAAGTCCTTAAGTTCAATCTACCTAATTTCTTACAATTAATGACGAAGTAATAATATAGTCTTAATGTGCAGAGTATTCTGGAAATGTTCTGATTAATAATACTCAAAAACATTTTAGATTAAAACGTGTTATTTCATATTCCAAGGGAAGCACAAATACCCTCACTGAACAACAGAATCAATTATTCTACATTCATTATTAACGTGTTTATCTAAACCACTGGTTTTATCTAAACCCTTTATCATTGAATCCAGAAGCTCCCAATCAATTGTTTATGGTCCGTCTGTTGTCTGTCACCAACTGGCCCAATGTACTAGACTGCCTCCAATATAGCTTTCACGCTTTTTATTTTTTGTAGTGTCCTTCATTTTTACCTGGAAGAAGGGTTCAGTATATTATTTTTTTCTATGTAAACTCAATGACCTCAAGCTTATAATTAATATTTTATTCTGAACTGACAGGCTAATGTGTGAAGAACTGGGTAATAATATGATTTAAGGTAAACTTGTCAACCAATAATCCCACTGTAAACCACCATAACAATGAACATTTTTGACCTTCTGGTTCACTCTCTATCCAGTTAATTCAGATGCAGATGATAATCATGGAATATACATGTTCCACTACTATCAAGATTTCCTAATCATGTATGCATACAATGTCTTGAATGTTATCTAAATGTATTTCTTATTCACCTGGATATCTATCCCCAGCTATCAGTCCAAGGACCCTTGAAAAGCCTTTGTATACAAAACAAAAATAATACAAAAAGAAAATGCATGAAGTGATCAACATGAAACAGAATGTTGTTTTAATATTCAAGGTAGCAGGAAAATAAAAATAAAACTCTAATGTAGCTATGAGCCTAACAGTTTGAGGAAGATTCAATGTTCTTTGTGGATAGTGATTCAAAACAATTCTACTAACAGTTTGATTTCAGTTAGCATCTGCTATTTATACTCTTCATGAAATCAGCACACACTTTATTTATAGTTATCTTTCATATAAATGCATTCAAAAGTTCTTTTTATTTAATGCCTTTAGGAAATCCATAAGTTTAGGTATATTTGTGGACTACATATAATCTTTACATTCTTCCTGAATTATGTCACCAAAATTATTTCTTGCAAAACCAACACAAAAATCTGAAGGCTCAAAAAGTTAATGAGGATTGTAAGGCTTTATGAGTTATAATTAAGAGGCAATATGGTATAATGGAATTAATGTTTCATCTACAAAATTCATGTCCATCCACTGAGAGGTCTAAAAAACATTCTAAAAAATAAATAAAATAAAAACTAAAAAAGTTAAAAAAATTAAATGAAAACATTCTATCACTGTGGCCATCATCCTACTACCCTGATGGCATATTAAGTAATTCAAAAGATTCATGATCACATTAGTATGACAGTGTCTTACTAACACAGAACAGTCTTCAGCCCCAAAGAATGGCATTCAGGAGTTGCTATGGCCAAAAAATTAGAATCTGGTGGCCTATTCTATGATGATGAGCATCTCTTAATTTAGCTAGAATTTAAATTAAGATAACAAATGCTAAGCTGGCACTCCAAAACTTTCTAAGTAATAGACTTTCAAGAAACTACAATGAGGAACTGGTGAAGGATTTAAGGGAAATGTCAAATTATTTGTGCTACTTTTGCTTAAAATATAACTATGATGATTATCTACTATCAAAAAAGCATTATTCTCTAATGTCAATTACTGAATTACTGGTGCCACTGCTCTCCTTCCACTATCACTAATGATGCAAATGTATCTCTATACAGAACAAATCGTGTTAAAATAAAAATGCTAAATGTTGTAATGTAATGTCATTACCATGAACATTGTTTCGAAGACGTAAGTCATTACTAACAACAGGGAACATTGGTAAATACATGATTAATAAAAATTTGAGATAAAGAAAAAATGGGAGAGGGAGGGAAAATAGGGGATAGAGAGTAACAGGATTTAAATTATGAGGACCATTTGGATACCTGTTTGAGTAAGGATAGCCAGGTAGACCAATGGATAGAATAGCAGGCTTTAAGTTAGTAAAATTCATCTAACCTAGAAACTTACTAGGTGTGACTCTGGAGAAGGAAACGGCAAATCACTCTAGTATCTTTGCCAAGAAAACACCAAATGGGGTTACAAAGAGTCAAACACAACTGAAAAACAAGTCTGAGTAAACTGGCTTACACAACACACATTTCTCACTACTGTACTCACTACTGTACTCACTATTAATGTCAGTAGCTTCTGTTTTTTCTTCTTCCTCAGCCATTATATCTGCTGTCATCGTAAGCAGCTCACCACCAAGGGGATCGGAACATACTTTATTTTTTAACTCTTCAGGTACTACAGGAAATTTTTCATTACTCTCTGGTGGAGTAGGCAAAAATATAGGTACTGGCACCTAATAAACCAAAGTATCCACTGTTATTATAAACTAAAAACTGTTAGTAAATATCTTTTACAGTGAAAATGATTTTGATACTCAATTTACTTGTACTATGCTACAATGTGTGCAACTTTCAAAAGAACATCTGTTTTTTAATTGCGACTATTTTTCAGGTAAATATAGAAACGTTCTTCAAGCATCTACAGAAAATTACAGAAAAGAAAGTTTTTGGAAGCTGAATTATTCAGATACCCAGTGATAGACAGTAGCAGAACATTATCAACAACAAAATGAACAAGAGATAAAACTGATTCAGAAAGAAATAATGAAGTTTAAAGCATTGTGATCTAGTCCAGAATTAAAACCAAAGGCAGATGATATTCCAGCATTTGAAAAAACCTAAAATAGTACAGGAATATGGAGGAGAACTGACAGAGTGAAGTAAACAAGAGCCAGGAAAACAATGTACACAATGAGTGCAATAAACTTAAAAGGAAAAAATGATTACAAAATATCCAAAACTGAATGTTGCACAAGCAGAGACAACAAAACAAGCTTTTTGCTTGCAGAGGTCAAACATTCTATATAACATATTTTTTTTAAAGTGCTGATCTATTTTGCTGCCTTTTCTTTTCATTCTCTTGTTCTTAAAAAAAATCTTATATGGGATGACTCACTGGGATGGGGAGAGGTACAGGGGGAAATCTAGGCTATGTTGAAACAAAAAATAAATAAAATCTATTTCTAAAATGTGGAGGAAAAAAAAGAAAAATCCTAAATAACAAAATGTTGGGGAAAGTGAATTAAATTTAAAAACTGTTGGGGAAACTAGATAATATGGGGAAGGAGGAGAGAAAAGGCACACTGAGCTTAGATCCATATCTCATAAGACAATCAGAATAAATTCCAAATATAACAATAAATATTAAAACATATGATTAAAATATTGGGGAAAAAGCAATTTGAAGTTTGAAATTATGGAGATTATTTACTCAATGAACAGTATCATCAGGAAGAAAGTAAAAGGATTTAAAGATACCAAGATGTTTTCCATGTTCCTTCTGTGTTCATCATACTGAGTTTAAAAAATTTTTTATTGGTGTCTCTTTTTTTAACTTATCAATATTTTCCCCCAGTATCCTTCTCCCCTCCCTCAAAGCCCCAGAGACAAAAAGAAAGAGGTCTTAAAAAAATCATCAACACAGATCAAAATACTACAAAATTCTGAAAATATGCACAATGCACCATGCTTATGGATCTCCCACCTCTTTGGTGGGGATAGCTCTTCTTTCAAATCATTTGTAATTTTGTAACATTCGCTTTTATTTTTTTATAGCCGGTCTTTCCATTTGCATTGTTGTAGTCACCAGATACATTGTTTTCCTGGCTTTGTTTACTTCAATTTGCACTAGTTCATAAAGATCACTCAATGCTTCTCTGTATTAATCACATTTGTATTTCCTTGAACACAAAATATGCCTTTGCATTCATGTACCTTAATTTCTTTAGTCACTTCCCAAGCAACAATTACTTTGTTTCCAATCTTTTTCTATCACAAAAAGTACTGCTAAAAATACTTATCAACGGCCACCTTGGGTATAAACCTAATATTAACTCTGGGTTAAGGGGATACAGACAGTTTAGTTACATAATACGTATTATTTCCCAAATTGCTTTCCAAAACTGCTACACTGATTCACGGCTCCACTAGCAATGCACCAGGGTACTGTTCTTCCCACAACTCGTCTAACAGTGAAATATTCCCCATCTTCTGTCACCTTTAACCATTTGCAAGGTGTCAAGTGAAACTTCAGGGTAATTTACATTCTATAATACTATCATTCAGGGATCAAAACTTGAGTAGCCTTAAAGTACCCAATAGATAATGCATCAGCTTTGTTAATTTCTTTGAACTGATTACAAAAGTGAAGTAGAATCAGATGACCAATATACACAATAACAGTAAACACAAACATAATCAATTCAAAAAACTGTTGCCAACACTATAATGAAAAAATTTATACTCAAGTAAGTGTGAGGTGGCACCACACTACCTTCTGGGCAGATAGAACAACATATACCCAAATTATTTTTCCAATACATTGTTATTTTTTATGAATGTTTTCCCTCTTTTTTATCCTTTATTATAAAAGATGGCTCTCTAGGAGGTGGAGGGACACCTCGACCAAGGTAGGGGATGAAAGGTTTTTACAATTAATACCCACTTCTCTAATAGTTAAATAGTCAAAAGACAGTTACGAACCATTCTAAAAGAAAGAGAAATTATCAGTATCATATCAAATTAGGAATAAGTCACTAGAATGGCAAAAAGGGACTTAGGAATACATATACATCAGATTTTAAAAACTGAACAAAATCCCTCTATTTCAGCAGCCTCACTGTGCTCAATCAAATTACTATCTTATTTACAAAAGCCTGATGGATCTCAAAGATTTAACTTACTGGAACAGGAACAGTTGTAGGAACAGGAATGTTCTGACTGTACATATGCATGGGCACGGGGATATACACAGGTACAGGTATTGGAACTGGAACATATTCAGTCTTCCAACTATCTTCTAAAAAGTCAAGATAAGTAAGTTTAGGCAATGATATTAAATACTACTTATGTTAACTGGTAAGAGTCAAATGAATTCAGAGAATGATAACATTCAAATAAATATGAGTAAACACCATTTACAAACTCCACCATGAGAAAAAGAAGGCTTACAAAAATAATTAAGAATTGGATCCTCTTGAAGCTCTGATGTTCCTGATGTAGAAGAAGTTATACTTCTCCTGATATATGCAAAAATGGAATTTAGGCATCCACAACACTCCTCTCCCTCAAACAAATGGACACAGAAAGGAACTTTTTAAAGTATTAAAAGTCCTAAAGAAAACGTTTGGTTCAATGAAACAGTCCATTGGTCAACAGATTAAAAGTGAATGAACCTAAGGTTTTTATAAAGAACCAGTGCTTGCAATATTACAGTTTATATTAACAAAGAGATAATTTTTTCTGTGTTTACTGAATTCATTTTAAGGAATGAGAAAACTGAAATAAATTTTAATAGACTTAAAAAATGATTTGTCTACAATCACACAAATTTTATTTTTAAAATAATGAAGGGAAACCATCATTCATACATTTCTAACACAACAAGCAGTTACCAATATTTTTTCAATTTCTATACTTCATCATGACTATCGTATATTTTCTCAGAAAATTCTTATTTTTCATTTCCATTATTTAAAATGTTTGTTATACTGAAGCATGATAGGATTTCCCAAGAACTGACAAGCCAAATTCAACTCGCAGTTTTTCTGAAACTGAAATGGATCTGTTCCACTTAGTGAAGTAAACCAGGAGTGAAATGTACAATAAGTCACATTGTCAAAAAAACAAAACAAAATAAAAAACAACAAACTTACCTGTCTGACAAGATTTTGTTTGCATGTGAGGTTTACAATATGTGGCTTTTGTCATTGTCAAAGGTTTACAAAGAACTGCTTTGTTCTTCATCTCTTTGTTAGGCGTTGGAGAAGGAGGTGGTGCTGAACTCTAAGAGAGAAACATACAAGAACTGATTTCTAAGCTACCCACTTTGCATACCCAAAAGTTAGGAGTTAGTTTGTATTTTGAAGTTATGTTATGATTCTATAAATATTAATGTTTATTATCTTAAGAAGTAAAAAATTCAATCAAATTTTATACAAGAGTAATGGAAATCAAATACCAAGTATGAAAATCAGCTCTCTTTTTGGAAATCCATCAGTAGATTAAAAAAAAAAATTAAAAGTATATGCCCTAGAATTGTAGGTCACATGCAGCATCTTTGAAATAAAAGATTACTTTATTTTGTCAAAACGTATGACAGAATACCGGTTTTTAATAAAATAGTACAATGTCAGACTTGAACAAAAAGTTTATATCATGCAGTAGAAAAATATTCTGAATTCAAAAAAGACTTTTAGAAGAAAAATACTTCTTCCTGAACAGCTCAAGTATAAACTTAACATTCTAGCCCCCTCTACTGGATAAGTGCAAAGTATTTACAAAGGCAAGAAATTTTAAATAAGAGAAATATCTTTACCTCACATTAGACTACTTTGATGTTATGAGTACAGTTTCAAGAAATAGAGGAAAGGAAGCTGTAATCAGTGGGATCAAGGCACATTAATGGATAGGGGAAGCTAAAAGACTAGAAACATTTCACAACTGACAAAATAACAAAAATAGGCTTGAAAGACCTATTGCCTCTTACAAAACTACCTTTTCCTCCCATCTGTCTCTCATGAAGCAATGGTTCTAAATTTCCTTATACCAATATGATAAATCTCTGATACAAGAAATGCAATGGAGCTGACGGCTAATTTCCTCTATCCCAATGTACATAAAATCCAAAGAACTTAATAGAAATAAAAATTAAAATCAAAATCAAAATCTTTCTTAAAATAAACTTGCAAGGACATAAGAAGCAGGAATTAATTTAGTATAGGTAAACCTGTAGTTCATTTTGCAGCACTCACTGTTTTTTAGCAGAGTAAAACATAATCTTAATATTCAATAGTATCATATGAGGAAAGATAATTTGGTGATTTATTATGTTTGAATATGTGTATTTGTTGCAAGGTTTTGTTTTTATTTTTCCCCCAAGGGAAAGGGGCAAGGAGGAGGTAAGAATATGGTAGCAAAAAAAGAAAAAGGGGGGTGAAGTAATTAGGGTGTTGAGGCATCTTTAACAAAAAAAAAAAAAAAAAAAGACAGGAAAAAAGCCAAATAGGATAAATTCGAAAGCGACAGGTTGATCTTGTGTGTGTGTCTCACACACACACTTTGTCTCTCTCCCTCAACAAGAATAAGCCTTACATAACAGAAACCTGAAGTTTCATGTAAACTCCTCTTTTTCTCTTCTCTGTACATGCAATTTCCCATTCTACTTGGTGTGTGTTATGTTCAGAACAAGAAGAAAGATTATTTAAAATGAAGTCAAAAAAGTAACAAATTTAACAGACTTACTGTCACTTTCGTCCGAGGAGTCTGGCAACCCTGGTCTAAATACAAAGAGAATGAAAATAAGACACCTTTATTTCATTCCATAAATCCTTTAAAGAAACATTACATCAATAAGACCTGTGATGTTGTTAGTATGAGAACTGCCACCCAGAACATTAATCTCAACTCTTCTGAAATTTACAGGATGCAAAGCTGCCCGACAATCAGAGAAGTAAAGTGATTATCTATAATGACATCATTTATCAATCAAGAAAAATTTATTAAGGGCCAGGCACAGTGCTCAGTACTGAGGAGATAAGGATAAAAATACCATAATCACTACACTCAAGTTTACATTCTTACGCAAAACATAAGTGTAAGAAAGGGGATGTGAACTCAGGTCTTTCTTACTCCCGAATCCAATCCATTATGGCACATTATCCCTCTAAATTAATATTACTTCTATTAAATTGTAGTGAATTTTAAAATAGTAATTTGAAGATCAAGTTCCAAAATTCTGGTATATTTAGAATGGAAATTATTAAAATATCCTAGAGCTTATCTGGCATAATCTCTCTGCTAATTAGGCAATAAAATAGGTTTGCTGAATGAATTATAAAAGGAAAAATAAGCTTATCTCAGCAAAAATGGATTTTCCTTTATGCCATTATGAGTGTTCCATATATAAGACACAGTGCTAGATATATTTTAAAACACAGGAACATAGTAAATACAAAAAACCATTTTAAAAAAATTATTTCTTGGGGCAGCAAGGTGGCACAGTGGATGGAACACTGGCTCTGGAATCAGGAGGACCTGAGTTCAAATTCGGCCTCAGACATATAACACTCACTAGCTGTGTAACTCTGAGCAAGTCACTTAACTCCAACTGCCTCACTAAAACAAACAAAAAACATTCTTCCTTTTAGTAAGTTAAATTTCAGAAACAGTTTTTATCTCAGATTCTTTCTTAAGAAGTAGTAATTCCCTAATTTCAAAAGCCCTGAGATTTTGAAACATGGGATGATAAAAGATAATGAAGCAGCTAGCCAAGTGGCAAAATGGTTTGTTTTCTAGATCTGGAAAATCTGAGTTCAAATTCAGTTGCAGACATTTATTAGCTATGTGACCCTGGGCAAGTCACTTAATCTGTTTGCCTCAGTTTCCTCAACTGTAAAACTGGGATAAATTCACCAAATCCCAGGGCTGTCGATAAAAGGAGATATTTGTAAAATGTTTTGTAAAGTTTAAGCCACTACATAAATGCTAGTCATTTTATTATTGGCAAATAAATTAATACTAACATTTATAAGAATGGCTACTAACATGGCTTTGGAGATTTGTCATGTTTTCTTTATGGTATTTAATTATTCAGAAGCTATAAAATTAGGTAGAACTTAGCCACACACAAATTCAAAAATATCTACAAGCCTATTAAAAAGTTCAGCAAAACAGCATTTTCATTTAAAGCTGTAGATAAAAATATGCGTACGTCAATAACATCTGGAAATAGGTGTAAGTGTTAACACATTTTGCACTATTTTCATGAAGTGCCATTTAAGGAAACCTGATTTCAGGTAACAAAGCTTTCGAAAAATGTCAATCTTGAACCTTGCCTCAAAGTCCATTCCAAGTAGAATAGGAAATAGATTGTAGACAAAAATAGATCCTTCCAACCTCAGATTCTCTGATTCTAAGCTATATTTAATTTTGTCCTCAAAATCTGCAAGAAACGGAATACTGTATGGTTTCAAAATGGAGAAACAGAAAACTTTGCAGAAATTTTCCAAGTTACTACCTGAAGCATTACATACCATAATGTAGGTTTTCAGGTCCTTTTTGGGTTGCCATGTTAGGTTCATTTTGCTGACAATAAAAACGCAGTAAGCAGTGCTGATCACAGAAATGCTTCATTTCCCCACGCCACTGCACGCGTTCTTTAAGAGTTCCTTGGGACTTACAACAGTCACACCTTGCAGCCTTAATATAAAAGGAAAAGTTTCAGATATTTTCAGTAAGAGGTCTTTTAAAGAAAAATCCAATTGTACACATATGCAAATTAAAAGATCTCTTAAATTAACTTTTCTCATCAATTTCAAAATTCAAATCCAAATGAGATTTTTACAAAAAAATCTGATGAAAAAAAAATTATGCCCCAAGTTATGCTGTATATACATGCAATTTTATTAACAATCTAAAAAAATTCTTCTTCCTCAGCGAAAAATGACTGGTTCACCAAATTTTCAATAGTCTCTTATTACTTACCAAGAGTCAAAAAGACCAAAATCATAAAAGTATCGAACTTGTGTGTTTTATTAACCCAAGTTGATATGTCAATACCCAAATTTAATGGAGGTATAGTTTTAGGCCCACCTGGATATACTTAAATTGCAGGCTAATGCAAAATTGCCAAGTCACATGTAAATACACCAGTCAAAAACCATAAAAATCTAACAATAAAATTAAATTTGATTGCACAATAAAAGATTTCCTTTCCAAACCTCAACAGATGTTGAGTAAAAATAGAACGTATAATAAGGATTTTAACAATCCTTAAGAGATCACTTCGAAAGGCTTTGACCTGAAATACACCATTACAAGCAACACTAAGACAACTATTTGTATTAAACTAGAATAGCATCAATTAATGCGTTGAGGTTAAAATTTTTTAAAGAAATTATTTTTAAGAAGGTCAGTCTCTAATCCCTCAAGTCAAGATGTGGCTAGGTCTTATTTCAAACATTTCTAGAAAGAAAAAAGAGTAATTTATGATGAAAACAAGGAAATTATCACGCTATTAAAAATATACATATACAAACAGTAGTTCATTAATGTGAAACTATCCAGGGATATATATATTTTTATTTTGGAGCCTATCCTTGGCCTGTTTTCTCCACCCTTTGATCATTTTCACTATCCCCTAACATCTCTACAAGAAGGCAAGCAAGTATGGGAAAGATAAAGGTTGAATTTCAAATTCAGTTCCTGTCAAATGTTTCTAAATTTCTTGCAAATAAAAAAAAATTCTATGCAATTTTAAAAAATCATCCACCTAAGTGCAGGTAAGGTTGAATAACTGTAAGACATCTATACCCATATACTTTAAAATTTTTTCTGTAGCTTAAAGCAATCCTGGCCATGATTTTCCCAGATGACCCCAAATAATCAAAGAACTGGTAAATGGCTTCTATTTACTTAATAATTTAATTTATGGCTAGGGAGATCTTAGAAAAGCTGCAACTTCAAAATTCCTGTTCAAGAATGTTGACTGTTATGTTCTTAAAGTCTTACGTAACAGACATACCCAAAGATTAGAACACAGGATCTTTTTTTTCTCCAGGACAGGTTTTTCCCCTGCTAAATAAAGGTTGAATAAATGATTCTCAGTATCAATTATGAATACCAGTGATGGCAATGTCACTTCTCATCAGCAAATTTCTGAGACCAAAATTATAATGCTACCTAGGAGTCATTATCCATACTTACAAGCCAAAAAATAACATTAATATTTAGTTAGACATAATATTAACACAGGTAATATTTTAAAACTGACCATGGATTAAATAACACTTTCTGAATACTACTAGAAATTAAACTGTCAAAAGACTGCTTTCAATTGCCCTATATTACACTCAACAAATAACAACTAAATACAGAAAAATGGTAACTTCATCTAATCTACAAGGGGTTAGAACACAACAAAAGTTGTAGAAAATTCTTGTCTGCATTATTATTAATGATATGATTATCTCCATGAATAAGTTTTTCTACTTGTAGAGGCTCATTTTCACACCTGTTTTATTCTCTGCAATCTTTATTCATTCAATACATTGCAGACCTACTAGTACTATTAGATATTGTCAGTATCTGGCTCTGGGTACATATACTGTTTTAATTAGAAATCTAGAGGTCAGAGGTATACAAAAAAAGTCTGACTAGTTCTAATTATATGATGGGAACAATGAGAAAACCATAATCTTTCATTTTATAATTACTGATTTCTATAATTTACACTGAGAATTTAACATAATCAATAAGAAAATGTATAAAACCCCAAAATAACACCCAACTGCAGACATGCATTTTCAGAGCACTCCAAAGAGCAATTACCATTGTAATCCCTTCTTTCCAAACACATCCACCGCCCACACACACACTTAATGGATGGGTTTCTGTTGTGGTTTTTTTTAGAGTAGTGATTTGCTCAGCATTGAATGTATGCAATAAAAAGCCAAAACTCAGAACTTAGTTCAAGTTTAGTTGTATTCCAAAGATAAGTGTTTTCTAAAGTAGCAGATACTTTAAAAAAAAAATTTAGAGTGTCCCCATTACCTAAAAATCTTTGTTTAGAATATGGGTCACTGAATGTGTTTCATGAATTAAACATAAATTACCTACTACACTTTTACTTTTCATGGTACTTAGGGTTTAAGGATCCCTGGCATTCCGTGGAATAAATTTTGAAAATCACTACACTAGACTTAAAATCCAACCAAAATCCAACTGAACAATCTACTGGGCAATATTGTCATTTAAAAATTCTGACTACTTGTTCTGTTCACTCCTGATTCTCACCCCACTCCCAATCTTGATGACTTTCACCATTCTAGGAGAATGAGAATTTATTATTTTTCATAGTAAAAACATGTGTTTCTCTTTAGTTACTGGGTAAACCTTGCCTCTCTAATGATCAGGCACGGACAGAATAGAAAAGAATGTAATTTTAAAAGGGAAAGACCATCTTCCCATCCACTGTAGGAATCCTTTCAGGTACATCTCTAGAATGTTGTTGATCCAGCCTCTGCTTGAACTTATCCAATGACTGGAAAACACCCTACTCCAGGAGGTAGTCCCTTCCAGAGTTGGACAAGACTAACTAAATTCATATCAACTTCTTCCTTATATCAGGATGTTTAGGTCTAACCTAGTTCCAGTTCTGAATTCTGCAGCAATAATCAAACCCCAACTTAAAATTAACCTCAGGGAATGGGATGGAAAGGTGTTAAAATCTAAAAGATGTAAAAAGATTTTTACAAATCTTTTGTTAGGAAGCTTTTATTATTTTCTAATTACTCTTTTGACTAAAAAAACATACTTGGTAGCCAAAATGAGGCTACCAGGCAAGTGGATAACTTCGCACACTGCCAAGTACCAATAATAAAATGGAGTATTTGCAGTTGAGTAACTGTGTATTTGTAAAATGGCTTTCAAAAATAAGTAATAAATAAAACCATATTCATAACAGATTCTGGAGAGATGATGATCAATTAGATGCCATTTCAGATATTCTAGGAAAACAGCTTAAAGGGACCCGTATTAAATAAGTTTTTAATGTGGTCAAAGGTCATAAAAGCTTTTTAAAACCATGAGAAAGCTCCAGTGGCAAGGGGAAAAAAATGTCAGATTTCTATAAAAAAGTTTCAGACAGCCCGAACAAGAAAAAGAGTAGGGGCATCTTGCAGAAATAGTAGGTCTTTTTCAGAATGGAGACTTTTATACCAGTCTATACCAGTTGTTTCAACTGGTAGGTGTAGAGAAGGAGCAATAAGGGAAGAAAGAGGATGATGGTGAGATAGTAAATTGAAAAAAATTCTAGATAAAGGCAAAAAAAAACCCCACAATTAAATTTGTGCCAAGACACCAAGAAATATTTATTTTGGGAAACAGCTGAAAGATACTGCCTATCTAGGCATGCACGTGAGAGAAAGGTCACTAAATTTGTTTCAAACATTTTTGGCTGACTGAATGCCAATACATTTGATTCCACTCTAAATGTACTTTTCACAAGATGACAAGTCACTTCAATTTTAACTCCTACTATGTTGTAATAAACCAAGGAAAATAGAGAACATATACTATGAAACTTGATCATCTAAAAGTACAGTATAATCAGGAGCTTAAGAGACCATAAATGTGAAAATTTCAAAAGAGTACCCAACAACTCTATCATTTGTGTCAAATAGTACAAGTATAAGATAAGATATGCTAGTTTTGTTTATGATTGATACAGCCTGGATTAATTTATATGATTAAGGCCAAACTCCAAACTGAATTAAGATAAAACTATGGGTATGGTTAAAGAGAGTTCAGTAAGAAATTTTTGTAGAAACCTTAAATAAAAAAGCTGGAGTAAAATAACGATATATTTTGCCAATTAAAAAAAAATCCTTGGAAAAAACTGAATGAAGGAGATTAAAATAAATGTATTATTGCATTTAAAAAAATGGCTCAGCAAAAACAACAATCAAAAAAACCCTCTTTCTACTCTGCCTCTAGGCAACCTTATCTAAGATACCTAAGATAAATCATCTTTAGCTCCTTTAGATCAACCAGCACATAGCTGACTGTGTTAAGATACCAATTTTTTTGGTTTACTCAGCTGGTCCTTGTCAGATAACTTGCTACTTTACTCTCATACCTTGGATCAGTAAATACAAATGTTTTGCCTGAATAAGAAAATTACTATCTTGAAAAAAATACTTTCAAATATACAAAAATATTCTGGGCTTAAAATAAGACAGAAAATACATAATAAAAATGTGTTTAATGGATAGAATACTGGCATTAAACATGACTACATAATTAACTGGCTATTTCACCAATTTTTTAATATTTTGAAATAAATTGTTTTATTGACTTTCCAACATTGGACATTGCATGAAAGAGAACATTAAATACAATTATCCTTTAAACAAGTGGCAAAATGAACAAATTACAACTTGTTGAATTAGTCTGCATATTTAATGACAAATCATTTATGTCTGCTTCTCAAGAAAAAAAATTAACAGATTTCTACATTTAGCTTACGGTATGAAAATAAACACAAGGTAAGACCCTCAAAGAAAGCAATAAACTAGAGACAGGGACATTCATAAAGTTGTGAACACATTACAAAATTCTGCAAGATAATCTTAACCACCTAAAAATATAGAAGGCTTAGGTTCACAACATGCCAACAAGGCACCAAATTGCACAATAACTACAAATCATCACAGGGTTAACAATTTCTGTCTCTAGTATTAAAATGTAAGATAAAAATTAAATTAGTGGCAGGATCAAGTTTCTTAGTTATGATTTTTCCAGTACTAAGCTGAGCCAATGTTAATGTGGCCCCCCCCCCAAAAAAATCCTGAATGCAAAAGTAATTTTTAAAAATTTTAAATCAGGCTCTAAATTCTTTCAGTGTTTACCTGAAGCCAATTAAAAAAAACCCTCAAATGGAGTAAAAACTCATAAATGGAATACAATACAAGAAACGGATTAAAAAACAAAAACAAAATTCTAAACTCTTGTCATATTACAGAAGGTATGCGTCAACCTATGTATTAGAGGATATTTTATTTCTCCCCTGCCTAGCTTTTCAATTTAGACCTGAATTTCAAAGATTTAGATCACTATCAACAAAAAAAAGCAGTAATTTTTAAAATGACTTTTAAACAAAATAAAACCTTTAACCTCAATTTTGCATACCTGACAATTCAAAAATTATATATTGCTTAATGTTCTAGAATGGCATATTCAAAAATTGTTAAGTGCTGCTTTTTGCCTAAAAAACTTAATAAGTAACTATATATTTAACTGCAGATCTTCTGGAGTCATTCCAAGTTCAAGTCGTCAAGAGTTAGTTCCATTTCAATGGCAAATCAATTTCATAAATGGAATGCATAATATTCGCCAACATTTCAAACTCTTATTGTTTATTTCCTCAGAAGTAGCTCACAATTTTGTAAAGGTGGTGATGAATTCTGTCTTCTTATGCTTTAGAATTGAATCCATAATGTAGCTTTAGTTATTGAGATGGCTTTCCATGTTGCTGGCACAGGAACTAGTAAATACTTTCTCCAGGGTAATATTTGACTACCTCAGTCCAATTTTATACTCTCTCCCACCTATAAGATAATCAATGCTGTGCAAAATGGACTGAAATTATTAAACCTTCCTGAGTATTAAAAAATAAAATAATTGGATTAAAACTTCAAAAGAAATGCCTTTGGTGTCTTGTTTTTCCATTGAGAGTCCTTTCACCTCGAAAACACTGAAAAAAACAAAATCTCCAAAATTCACAATTAAATTTAGGAGTAGGTTGAGGTGGCAAAAAAAGAACACATCTAAAATACATCTCAACTATTCAAAGCAATAATTGCCTGCTAATATTTCTAAATATTTGTAAATGGCTATCAAAAATATTTTTATTAATTAAAACGAATGGTATAAAAATAACCTGATTTATAAAATTAAATTGGGGAACAGATATCTATTGTATTATTTAAGACTACACAACAAGGTTCACAACATGCCAACAAGGCACCAAATTGCACAATAACTACAAATCATCAGAGTGTAACAATTTCTGTCTCTAGCATTAAAATGTAAGATAAAAATTAAATTAGTGGCAGGATCAAGTTTCTTAGTTATGATTTTTCCAGTACTAAGCTGAGCCAATGTTAAAGAAAAATGCTACTTCAAGTTACAAACATCGACGGAAATGACAAAAACCGTATTTTTACTGACTGCAAGGAAGAAACTATTCTAAACTCACTCAGTGGACATTTTAAAGAACTACGGATTGTAACATTTGTAATGAGGTATTCAAATGTAGCTGTTAGTGACCACTTAAAGTAGCTGGAGGAAGACATCTAAAATTGTGAGTTACTTGCCTTATAGTACCAATCTTGAAATTTTTTACAGCATTCTTCACCGCAGAAATCTCTCACCACGCCATCAAGTTCTTTAGTTGCTCCCTTTTTACAAAGCTGGGAACAATAGTTGCAAGTAACACATCTCAATCCTAAACGTCTTGCAAAATCTTGTTTATAAAGCAGCTTGCAGCCTGAAAGAGATATCAATATTTAATATCGAAATAACCATTATGGGTCATTTTCTTCAAAAGGGGGGGGAAGGTGAGTCATCTGTAGCATCCCCATAAAAACACATGGTGCTATATTACCTACACAAACAGATTCAAATAATGCGTAAATTGCTGAATTTAAGAAACTTGCAATCTAATGTGATAAGATTGAAAAATCAAAAGTACATTATTAAGACTTCATAAAATGATTAAATGGCAAGTAATACATCATTAGGTTGAGTCAAATAAGACCTTAGGGTAGTACAGAATCATATTTGGCTGCCCTTCACAATTTTATCTTTCTCTATTCTATTATCTGATGAATGATAAATAAGCAAACTCCTTCACTATCTCCTAAAGAAGCCTTTCCATTTCCTACCTCTGAGATTTTGTTTGGACCATTTCACCAAAAAGCCTATGTTATCACACCAATGTGAAATGATTTCCCTCCTTCCTAAACTACTAAAATAACGTAAGCTCCTAACCCAGGGTCCATGAACTTGTTTTTTGCAATTCTCAATAACTGTATTTCACAATAATTGGTTTCCTTTGTAATCCTAGGTATTGTATTTTAGGCATTTAAAAATATCCTGAGAAAAGGTTCATGAGCATCATCAGATTGCCAAAAGGGAATATGACACAGAAAAGGTTAAGAATTACTGCTAGAGCCAGCTAGGTGGCACAGTGGACAGCGCAGGCCCTGGAGTCAGAAAGACCTGAGTTCAAATCCGGACTCAGACACATAACACTCACTAGCTGTATGACTCTGTGCAAGTCGCTTCACCCCAACTGTCTCAAAGAAAGAAAAAAAAAAAACACTGCTATAGGAAGTTTTTTCTTTTAGTTACCAATTTCTTCTGCTGGTACAAATATTGTTCTTATTTAACCTTGTTAATGTGTTTTTAATCACTAACCTAAGCACTAGCTTAGGGCAAAAGTCATGAATTATATTTACCTGTATATCATCCACAGTGCCTTGAACAATAATAGACAATGAAATTATGTTATGACAGATATAAATATTAAAGAAATCAGTATCAACTATTTTACCCAAAGGGACTATGCTACTTGATCAATTTTTATTATAATCTGAAAGATTACATTTCAATTCTTTCTTCCCAAATCAAAAAACAATAATCATACTGTATTTATCATTCCAAAGGACTTTCCCAGCATTTATAAATGACTTTAATTTTATAATTTCCCTGAAAAGATAGAAAGGTCAAATAACTATTCCCATTTTATAGACAAGAAACCTCTGATCCAAATCTATCAAACTAACGAAACAATCAGTACAAAAGACAAAAATGATTTTTTCTACTGGCCTGCTTAAAAAAAGGTTTGGCATAAAAATTACCCAAAAAATTAATGTGAAAGTTTACAAAGCACCTACCTTCACTACAGAATGGCCTCTTAACTCCAGAGAAATTTACTGTTTCATGCAGGGTTTTCTCCTCTTGACAGTATTCACAATATGTAACAATGCAATGCAACTTTTTATAGTCATCTGAACATGTTTTGCTGCAGAACTGATATACTTTGTTCTAAACACAATTAAAGCAAGAACAAACTTAAATGCCAAGTAAACATAGTAACTGCAGTTAATTTAGCTTGGGGGGGAGGGGCAGAACCATTACAAAAAAATTTCAGACTCAATGTGGGCATATATATACGTGGACCATAAATTCCAGGCACCTAATTTACCTGTCTTCCCTGGTATACCAGGTATTGTCCTCCAAAATGCTCGCTCCTGCTGTCTTTAAATTAAAAAGTAGAAACAAGCAAGCCAGAAATCTAGCTTTGCTAATAACAATATGGAGTAGGAGCAAAACAAAAGTTCAAAATTATGAAGTATTGTAAGATTTATGAGTAGTTACAATCCTGAGAGGTAGGGTAATTCAAGTATTCAAACCATCACTTATAGTTTCAGAATGGTTACATGACTAGTTCAGTATCACACAGCTATTTAAGGGTTGGAAATAGGATTGAAACAGAGATCTAATCCCAGTGTTCCTGATGACCATTCTCATTTCTGCCATCTACCTCAAAAGCCTTACTTTCTACTCTGGGAAGATCAGAATTTCTGAGCAGGCATACATCCATTTTCTACCTCTGAACTATCACTAGCGGCACCAACTGCCTTATGAAAACCAACCCTTAACCACCTACTTGTAACAGTTCCACCTTAAATCATTCTGTAATTCACCTATCTGCTTACGTTACATACTTTCCACCCCAGTGAAACCTAAGTTACTTGAGAGCATAAATCATGGGTTTTTCATTTTTGTGTTCACCAAACAGGCCTAGTAGAATTCTAGGAGTCCACATTAATTAATTTCATTGATGCGTGGAACTCCCAGTGTGTCAAGTAGTACTACTGATACATGTCAAAATCTCATCTGACGTACAACCGTAACTGGTTAAGTAACTGGTTTATGTCTTTAAAGCCAATACATAACTGAAGCAGGATATGGACTCTGGCCTTCCTGACCACGTTGACCCAGAATGTTCGTTTTCTCTCAGGTTCCCAATAACTGGGTATTAAAATCAAACTGAAGACAAGCATGCCCTTTCTAAACCAAAATTAAGGCCAATCAATGGTAGCAGAGTTTTCAGTGCTGAAACTCTTAATAGTGGAAGTAGCTGAAAAACTATAATAAAACAAAAGGGTATGCTGAATTAGTCCTACAAGATTGGGCAATGACTAGTACTCTTCTCCCAAATGATACTGTGCAAGAGTTAGGTACAATAACCAACTGAATATGTAGCCTGATAGCTTCATAAGAGTGGGAACTTGGAGAGAATAATTTTTACCCCCTTAATGAGAAGAGCTTAAAAAAAAGTACTTCAACTTGACAATCATGGGGTAGTGGATGAAATAGACAAATTGGAATGAACTATGTGCCAAACACACCCAAATATACATTGCAAAAGCAATGAGGGTACTAGTATATCATGATTATCTGAGAACTAAATCTGATAGCACTTTAAATGTGTTGAGCCTTCATGGCCATAAAAAAGCACCTACTCTCAACCACTGAACTCACTCCAGAAATTGACATTTCCCTTCTCCCTGTTAACCAATGGGATACAATGACTAAACTATGCCTCCCATTAAAGTAATATTAAACCTTCTGCTAGACTGGACTCTTGGTTCCCAATGTATACAGCATCAGAACACAGCTCTAACAAAGATCTTGGGTTTTTTCCACCCAAACTCTGCCTAAGATTAGAAGCAATTAAGGTGAACAATGAAAGATGCTGGATTTGGACCAGGAAGACCAAGTTCAAATTCTGCCTTAGATATTTACCAACTATGTGACAACAGGCAAGTCATTTACCCTGTACAAGCTTAAGTTTCTTCACCTATAAAATGAGGGTAACAAAAACTTCTACTTCACAGAGCTCCTTTCAGGACCATATGAGAAACATATGTAAAGTACTTCAAAAATTTTTACATGTCATTAAAAATCTAGCTATTATTGAGAAGCAACTGGGTGGCAAAGCTCCACGGCTAGAATCAGGAAGATCTAAATACAACTATAGCCTCTGACACTTCTTACTAGTTGTGTGAACCTTGTCAAGTCATTTAACCTGTCTGCTTCAGTTTTCTCAACTATAAAATGGGGATAATAATAACACCGACCTACCAGGGTTGTTGTAAAGCGCAAGCGACATATTTTTAAAAAGTGCTTAGCACAGTGCTTGATATATAGTTAGCACTATATAAATGTTTATTTCTCTCTCCCTTCCCAAATTTTAACTGTTTCTTTTTTCAAAGATATCAAATAAGTGTTTTCACAATCAACCTCTTAGAGAACACCCTACCATCAAACATGGGCTTAACTAAGGGCTTTGATGATTTCCTAAAGGTTAAAAATCAAAAATACAAATAAATTTTTAGATTAAAAAGGGCCTTAGAAAGATCATCTAAGCCAATATACTGATAATATGGCTGAGGAAACGGTGAAGACCCAGAGAAGTGATTAAAAAAATATTGGTCAATTTCAACTCAAAAGCTAGATTCTACACAAGTTAAATATATGCCCCAAAGACAAGACAAGCTTAACTATGAATGTAAGACAACACACCTGAGTACAGAATGTGCCTTAAAAGGCAATCATAACCAGAAAAAAAATTCCCTAATTGGGATACATATTAACAAACAGAACCATAAATGGGAGAAGATCAAAGAAAAGGAAAAGACAAAATGGAAAAGGAGGGAAGGCTAATGAAATAGCAATTTTTAAAAATATTTAACAAATTAGGTACTTAATATCTTAGGACACAATTTAAAAATAAAAACCTGGTATGACAAAGTTAGCAAAAGCTAAAAATAAAAGTAATTATTTATAACTAAAGAAAAAATGTATAAATTTCTGGGGAAAGAATGTTTTTACAACAACTAAAATTAGTATTTATTTCCTACAAAGAAGTACTCAATGTAAAAAATAAAGCTAACCAAACCAATGTTACTGTGAAATGCGTACTTTCTTTTGACTGATCACATTTACTCCATTGACTGAACTGTTCCAAAACAGGGAAAAAATTCAAGAAATTATTATTAAACACTTAATAAATGCTATATTATTGTACTGTAATGACTAATGTTAACTATTCATTATCATTACTATGTTTAAAGTATTGGACTAAGACCTGAGAAAACTAAATAAAAGACAGTTAGTACACCATATTTAATTAATAACTGAGTCAAACATCTAAGTAATTTTGACAAAAAAAAATTCTATATATCTGCAAAATTACTCATTCTAAATGATAAGGCTAACTTTAAAATAACAACAACTTGCCTCCCATTCCAGTATCTCAGGTTTGGAACAAAAGGAATTTTTGCAGTAACTGCATTTCAACTGAATATCACTTGGTGCTGCAAACTGACCATTTGGGGATGACTGCATACTAAGAGCCTGAAACACAAATGGAATAAAAATAATTTTATATTTTAATTAACTTAATGATTCTTGAAATGATGTGAAATTTATAGATCATAAAAATATGAACTTGAAATTAATTTTTAAAAACCAATGATATATTCAATGATATATTAAAAAGACAAAAAAGAGTTTTTGTATATTTAAATTCAGAAACCTTGGTAATTCACAGCTAAAGTTACCTTAAGAAGAAATTTCTACAATTCCCTCATGACAGACATTCAGAAACTAAAATACAGAGCAGTTACATAATTTTCCTGAATTACCTGAACCAGGAGTGGCAGAGCTAGAACTAGAACCAAGGCGTGAACTGTTTGTTACACCAACAAATCTATCTACCTCCCTTCCAATCAGAAAATCCTTCTTCAAATGTCCATTTTAATTTTAAAAACTCTAAATTAATTAAATGTAAAGAAATTCTTTTATGATTAATCATTCTTATCTCCAAATTAAAAATGTAAAGATCTGAACTTAAGCCGTGGCACAAGACCAGCTCGCAGTTTGAGCCTAATATACCAACACAAGTCTGTGACACCTAAACTATGAGCTTATCAAGTCATAAACTTTGGTTCTAACTATATATCAAGAAATTAAGGGCAACAAATGCCAGTCCCAAGACGCATCTGCAACAGGGATGCCAATTAATTTGGGGAGCCATATGCTATGGCAGCCCAAAGATTTAGGGTAAATCATACCACAGCAACCTCAGAACTCTATAATGGACTAAAATATGTTTGACACTATCACATGAAATTAATTCTTTTTGATAAAATATAGTTTATCAACTTCATTTATACATAATTTGTATGCAAGTATGTTATATTTCACCTCTTGAATATCAGGGGTGTGAAAAAATAATACAGATGTATTCTGTATTCTCTGGCTCAGATTTTATGCACTACATTAAAATTTTCTGTAATACCATCAATAAAACCGGTGTACAAAAAATAAAATTTTGATTATCCAGTCTAATTAAAGGAATGTGGTTAAAAAATATAAAATAAAGGATAATACAAAAGTAATTTCTATAAAACATTCTGGCACGTCTCCTCCAAAACTGGACACAGTTTTAATTAAACTTTCGTGTTAGTATTCTGAGGCCCAGTAAAAGAGAAGTATAAAGACAATTTGGAGTTTTCATATATTATTTCCCTATCAGAATAGGTAGGAAAGCAGAATTAAACAGTCTAAGAGTTGATGGCACATACAAAAGTAACCTATACCACGTATGTATATGGATAAAGATTACATAAAACAAATGTCAAACCTGAAATTTAGCCACACAACTGGAATTGCAAAAGTTGTACAGTTTTCCATCAGGCATTGTGGCTTGGTACTGAGGTAAAGAATTTCGCTTACAAAAGTGACAAATGATTCCCACACCTGAGAGAGAAAAGGTCCACATATGATCTCCTTGCAAATTAAAGTGATAAAGTAATTGGTTTTAATGACTAAAAAAATAACTCATCTATTTAGCACTTTAAGGTTTCCAAAGTGCATTGCTCAAAACAACACCATGTGGTAAGTAGTACAACAAGCATTATTATACTCATTTTAAAAATGAAGAAACTGAACCTCAAACAGGTTAAGGGAGTCATAGCTATCAAGTTTCTAGGGGTGGGAGTTTGAACCCAGGTCTGATGATTCCACTGTTTCCTATCCATGATGTTACACTGATGCTCATGAAGTAAAATCTAAAGCACCTTAACAATTTTAGAGGCTATCCAGTCTGGTAATTATGTGATATAAAAAGAAAACAATAACTGTCATATGGCATACTTTTCATAGGATCACAAGATAACAGACTATGGAGCTGAAGGAATCCTTAAGGGAATCCATCTATTTCAAGTCCCTCATTTTATACAGATGAGGAAAATAAGAAATAAGAAGGGATGACTTTAGAAAAGATCTGAACGCAACCTTCTCCTGTCCTCAATCCTTAATATCATATCACACTGTCAATTAATTCGTAAGGCTAGTGTCCTATATTTTAGTTAGAAAGCACAAGGGAAGATATAAATAGTTCAGTCTTTCCTACATTTTAGAAAAACAAATGGAGCAAAAATTTCAGCCATGAGGATAAAGAAGAGGGCATAAAATTTTACCAGTATTTTAATAACCTGGAATTGGTAGAGCTATGAAAAATATAATTTACTTTGAGGTTTTATAATTTCATTGGTTTGGTTACTCTGAATCCTCTAACACTTAAAAAGACTGAGAGTTCTCTATAATTTGGCAGATAAATTAAGAATTGCTGTGACTGAAGATTTCATTACCCTGCAGCTAAACATGGTGAAGAACCATATTATGATAATCTGGGGCCTCAAAGACTAGGCCCAGAGTGAAAGTTCTGATGGGTTCTACTGAGCTGGTTAAGCTCTGAATATTGGCCCTCCTGTCCAAGGAGACCTCAATGAGAACATTTAAAGAAAGGATCTTTTTAGTGGAGTATGAATTACTATTTTCTTACTAAATTAATAATGTCTTTCTTAAATAAAGAAATCCAGACAGATGTCCATGGGAGGGGGAAATGTCATTTACACACATGCGCGTGCGCGCATACACACACACACACATATATATATACACATATATATATATTTCTGGGGGGTAATTTTTAAAAACTTTAAACTTACTTGGTGATTTTGCATATTTTGTCTTGTGTGTGTTCATGCAAGCAGTTGAACAGTATGGTTCCATATATCCATTAGGACCTATGCACTGAGTCATATCAAAAAACCGGCATTGAGTTCTACAACCAGTACAAGCTGTCAATTTGCCATATTTCTAAAACATAAAATAGAAAAGTGTCTACTTAAGACATTAAAAATCAACTGAACTAAAAATTATTTTAAAAAAAATTAGTCTATGTATTACGGCATGATGATGGGAAACTTTTATATAGGTAAGCAAAGATACTTAGATATTTAGATGAATCAAAAAAACTTATTAACAAAATACTAATAAATTCAATCAAAATGATCTCATTTAATTATATATACTACACATACATACTATATATACACACACACACACACACACACACACACAAATACACACACACACAAACTTTTTAAAATAAAAACAAATACATCCGAAACAAAAGCAACCACAGTCAGGAATTCAGTTTACCTACAAAACATCAGTCCATAATTATGCAGACATTTGGGCGTGAACTTTTTTTAAAAAGAATTTCTTCAAAATTATGGGTGCAGATTACTAAAACTTCAACAGTTTACAGTTATTTTAAACAAAGATGCTAACTTCAAAAAAAAAAATCACTTAGGTCTCTTTTAAAATACAGTTTTCTTCTCCACCAAAATTCACATCACATGTAATCTTGGATTACAGATAAAAGACTAGACAAGAATTCAAAGATCTCAACTTTGTGCTTATTTAAGAAAGACAGGATACACATTTCTATATTAATTGACAGACAAATTAATTGTGGCTAATAAAAATAAGGAAGTGAAACTACTAATCAGTAGAACAAGTTTGTAGGAGTTTGAATTCAACATATACAAACCATAAAATATATAATTGCAAATCTAGGTCTATTGCCAGAAAACAAATTCAAGTTAATAAATCAATCCCTAAATTAAACTCCAAATAACTTCTGAAGGAATATTTGTCGCTTTCAAGAATATTCAAAAGACTGCAAGGCAACTCGTGAAGACTGAAGCAATATTAAGAGCTGCAATGATTCCGAGCTATAGAAGGAATTAATTCAAATTTATGGGAACAAAAGCCTTTCAAATTAATGTATGTTCAAAAGATATTAAAAGATGGTTCTCGATCCGATTAATAACATGTTGTGAAAAAATGCTGAAAATCAGTAACAAAAAATGCAAATTAAAGCAATTCTAATCTAAGGTTCTCACACCCTTCAGTGTCAATAAGGGATGAATTGTAGAAAAGCAGGCACTTTAATTTAAGACCATTAATTAAGGCCATTAATTAAGACCAAAACCAGAAACTATTATTATGTACTGTTCCTTATAAAGTGGTAGCTAGGTAGCAGTTAGTGGCAGTTATGTGGCACAATGCGCAGAGCACTGGGCCTAGAGTCAGGAAGACGTGAGTTCCATTTAGGCCTCAGATACTTATAACCTGAAAAAGTCAGTTAACCTATGTTTGACTCAGTTTCCTCATCTGTAAAATAGGAATAAATAATAACTACTTTCCAGGGTTGTTGTGAAGAAAAATAAGTTAATTGTAAAAGCAGTGCTTAGCACAGTGCCTGGCACATAGTAAGCTCTATATAAATGCTGGCTATTATTTACTAGAACAAAGAATAATAGATTGTGGGACTGGAGAGAACCTTAAAGAATCCAACTACTGAAAGAGCTGTGATTTGTTCTAGCCATTCTAGAAAGCAACTTATTTGGAACTATGCCTCCACAACTCACTAAACTATGCACACATACATTACAATGAGATCCCAAATTGCGTTAAGAGGAAAATGAACTATATATACACCAATATTATAGCACTTTTTTTTGGTAGTATCAAAGAACTACAAATTAAGAAAGTGACCATTAATTGGGGAATGGCTGAACAAATGCTACATGAATGTAACAGAACATTACTGCACTATAGGAAAAAATGAAAGGGACATTTCAGAGAAACATGGGCAGACTAGTATGAACTGATACAGATTTTACCTAGACCATTATGACAAAAACTAATCATGCCTTTAAAACCATAATTCTTTTATGTAGTTGTTCAATCATTTTTCAGTCACGTCCAACTCTTTGTGACCCCATTTGGGGTTATCTTGGTAAAGATACTAGAGTGGTTTGCCATTTCCTTCTCCAGCTCATTTTACAGAAGAGGAAACTGGAGCAAACAGGGTTAAGTGACTTGCCCATGTTCACACAGCTAGTGTACTTTTTTTTTTTAAATGCCATATAGCATTTGCTTGCCTGCTCGCCAATGAGGATTCTGTAAAAGCTTTATATTGTAGCAAAAGATTTAACTACAAGAAAACTTGTTTAGATAAACCAATGATTCTGGAGGGAGGGGATGTTTCTGCACAGGACAAATTAATGATTTTTCTGCAAATCTACTTGTAACATAGCTCCCGAAACAAGTGGTATTGAAAAATGGGATTTATATTTCTATATGGTTTAATACAAAACATGGAAGAATGTTTAGGGAAATTGCCATGAAGAATATTTAATATATTTGCCTGGTGATCAGTGGATCAAAAGTGTTTCATATGAAACTAAAAATGAACAAACAGAAAGAAAGCAGATCATATAGAACCCGTAAGCCAGGTAACATGGAATCATACCAAGTATGCCCTAGGATGAAGTAGAAAAGTAGTATTTCTTATTGGTTCATGTCTATAAACTAATAAGCAAAGTATAATTATTAAAATGAGTTAAGTGTTTACCAACAAAGTAAATTTGAATCAAACATTTGTCACAAATTTAGTGGGATGTGACACACAACTAGAAAAACAATGGAAGTTTCATACTAAGGTCAAAGTTGTTTAATAAATTAAACTGAACATTTTAAAGACTAGATAAAATGGGGAAGAGGCAAGATGGCAGGGTAAAGGCAAAGATTTGTTGCGCTCTCCCAAATTACTCTGCAGATAGCTTTAAAATTGTATCTCAAAACAAAATCTGGAGCAGCACAATGAACAAAAAGACAGGGTGAAATAATTTTCTAGCTCAAGACAACTTAGAAAGACAGAAAGAAAAGTTCTGTCTCACCAGCTAAGAGCACAGTAGAGCACAGGCCATGCTCCATCAACGAAGTAGCAGCCCTCAGGCATGTGTGCGTTGATGGTAGCTTCTGGAGCTCTCAGCCCACAGACCAAAGTATGGGGGTTGGGGTTAGACAACTGGTCAGAAGGAGATTACAAGGGATCTTTGGTTGGCACTGGGTACACGACTCTTGCATTGTAGGTCAGAGTCCCAGAATGAGGAGGAGCTGTAGCACACTAGAGCATGAAGCCACAAAGGGAACAGAAACCCTGGTCACAGTTCTGGAGAGGAAAAGAGTACTTGTGGTCGCTCACAGGCCAGGAGAATAGTGACCACATCTCTCCTTTGGAAGAACTGAAAACAGGACCATGAAAAACCTGAAGCTTGGGTCTGTGCTGCCTCACTTTAACATAAAGTCTGAAGTCAAAAAATATTCTGGAAATAATGAACAAAGCACAAAGGAGAAAACAACAACAAAACCTAACCTGACGGTCACATAGAAAGTAACTGTGGTGACAGGGAAGAACAAAACTCAGAAGAAGGCAATGAAGTCAGAACAGCTATACTGACAGCCTTAAAGAAATGTGAATTGGTCTCAGGCCCAAAAAGAATTTTTGGAAGAACTCAAAAACGATTTTAAAAATCAAGTAAAAGGTAAAAGAAAAACTGGGAAAAGAAATGAGAGTGATGCAAGAAAATCATGGGGAAAAGTATTAATAGCTTGGTAAAAGAGGCATGCATACATACACACACACACACACACAGAAAAAGGTAACACCTTAAAAAACAAAACTGGCCAAATGGTAAAAAAAAAAAAAAAAAAAAAAAAAGGCACAAAAGTCCAGTGAAGAAAACAACTCCTTAAAAAGCAGAATTGGTCAAATGGAAAAATATGCACAAAAATTCACTGAAGAAAAAAAGTAGAATTGGTAAAATGGAAAAGGAGGTACAAAAGCTCACTGAAGAAAATAATTCCTTAAAAATCAGAATTGATCAAGTAGAAGCTAATGACTAGATGAGACATCAAGAAACAATAAAACAAAATCAAAAGAATGAAAAAACAGAAGAAAATGTGAAACATCTCATTGGAAAAACAAATGACCTGGAAAACAGGCTGAGGAAAAATAATTTAAGAAATACTGGACTACCTTACAAGACTTTATAAAAAATAAAGTAAAAAAGAGCCTAGAAATCATATTTCAAGAAATTATCAAGAAAACTGCCCTGTTATCCTAGAACCAGAGGGTAAAATAGACATTGAAAGAATCCTCCAATCATCTCCTTGAAAGAGCTCCCAAAATGAAAACCCCCAGGAATATTACAGTCAAATTCAAGAGCTCTCAGATGAAGGAGAAAAGACTGCAAGCAGCCAGGAAAAAAAAAAATTCAAATATCGTGGAGCCACAGAGAGGATAGCACAAGATTTAGCAACTTCTACATTAAAGAATCAGAGGGCATGGAATATGATATTCCAGAGAGTAAAGGAGCCAGAATTACAGCCAAGAATCACCTACCCAACAAAACTGAGTATAATCCTTCAGGGGAAAAAATGCTGAATAGAAAACCTGACTCAAGAATACAAGACTCAAGAGAATTACAAAAAGGTAAACAGGAAAGAGAAAATATAAGGAATTCAATAAGGTTAAACTGTTTACATTCCTACATGTGAAAAAGATACTTGTAACTCCTAAGAACTTCATCATTATTAGGGCAATTTGCCAGAGGGCATGAATATGAGTTTACTTTATAGTACAGATATTATGGGATACCTAAAAAAAATAAAATTAAGGGGTTAGAAAAAGAGATGCTTTGGGAGAAGGGGGAAAGGAGAGAAAGAACAGGATAAATTATCTCACATAACAAAGATGAAAGAGTTTTTACTTTAAAGGGAAAGATGAGAAGTAGAGGTAGCAGACAATGCTTGAACCTTACTCCCATCGAACTGATTCATAGAGGAAATAACATACGCTTTAAGTTGGGTATAGAAATCTATCTTACCTTACA